TGATTCCGCTGGTGAAGAGACGACTGGATATGAGGACTCGGTAGTGCCAGGCGGGCACGAGGAGAATAACGAAGAGAGCGTTTCTCTGATGTAACAACAGTGTTCTTTATAAAACTAAAGTGATACGAAGTAATTGTACCGATACATTAACTACTCTACATGTCTACTCTCCAGCTAAGCAATGCCACTTCCGTGGAGGGGAGCTTATTAACATAATTAGATGTTGAGAGAAGGGGTGCTGGTGGATGGAGCTTCTTGAAGTGGCGGGGGAAACTCCGTTGGCTACGGAAGATCTTACTTAGCATTTCACAATATATTTAACTTATTCGTCGAAATGAGATCATCTCTGCTGAGCTCGTGTCTACGGCTCGGAGCGCCTGCACGTGTGGGTTAATGAAACTACCCACTCCATCCGGTCTGATAGCTTTAAGCTGACCTGTCGGCAGAACACGTGCCGATTCTGACTGGTGCTTCGGAAGCCGCCAGACGCCTGGGCCACGTAAAGAGTTCGACGTTGACCTCGGGTCAACAGTACCTCTTTGTATTTAAAGTTTACAGAGAGCCTCTGTATCTCCGTCCGCAATTAAGAACATTCCATAGCATCTCCCATTATAAAATATATATAATGTACGGTGTAGTGCATGTTTGCGTTTACAATCAGTGTACTTAAGAACTAAAGTATACCAATTAACACTGATTAGTGACATTGATTACATTCATTAAGGGACGTAACATTACGTCGTTGTATGAGCGAGGAGCGCCTCATACGACAGCGGTGATCTTCAGCCCCTGGCTGGCGAGATCCGTTGACGAGTTAGACGGGACAGGCACTAAGCTTAGAGTATTAATTGTTATGGCTGATGGCTTAGGAGGAAGGTGCGTGTTTACATGAGCAGAACTCTTGTAAAAGGGTAAACTCTGGGATTCGAACCCGGGTAGTTGAGTCGAATCGGTCCGAGGCAAAAGTTTTGTTTAGAGATTATGTTTAGCACTGGTTTACGGCAAATTTTGGCGAAGAGTATGAATTGTTACGGCTGATAAATTACAGGGGACGTCTCATTTCTTCTTCGAATGCACTCGCAAGAGGAGCGTAACTTTCATTTTTTTGTTAATATTTTTTGATAGAATGGAGATATCAGTTTGATTTCTTCACTAATCGTTTATAAATAAAAAGCGGCAAATTTGGAGTACAGTTTTGTGTATATACTTGCAATAGTAGCGAATTTAGAGGTGTGGTCCTGCTAACTTCCATTGGAAGTTAGCATGAACACAGATTTTTTTGAGAAAATGACCCGCGGCAAATTTTTCTTTTCCACATCTTAAAAACGGCAAAAAAGCGTCAAATTATGGACTATGCAGTTTTGTGATTGGATGAAATGGTCCTGCTAACTTCCACGACGTAACAAAATAGAAACTCGCCCTTACCTCTACTACTACCATTACAAGTGAAAGGAGAGTTCAACAAAACGTGCGCATAGTGAAGCTACATATACGTCCAGAAGCAAAACAAGGGTCCATATCAGCATTTGCGCATCAAGGAAATTGGACATATCAGCATTTGCATCAAGGAAACTGGACAAAAACCTTATCGAGATGGTGGTCATTGACCCGGAAGTTGAAGTGCATTATGTGTTACAAACATATTAAGTCTTTTTAAAAAAATATCTAATTGAATAGAAACAGTTATGCCGCAGAAAAGATTTTACTTTTAACTTAAATTTGTGAACCGAATTCAATTGTTTAATATCATATGGCAATGTGTTGTAAAGTAACGTACTTATATTGTATGTGAATTTCTGATAGTGAGCTGTTGATACTGACACTTGATGAACGTGATTTTTACATGTGTTGTAATTATAAGTATCAGTATTGCATGAAAATATGTTCCCACTGTTAAGTAAGTCACTTTTTACAAAATGTTACAGATTCTTAAATAAATAGGCAAGGCAATGGTAAGATTCCAAGCTCAATGAAGAGAGGCATGCAGGGATCACGCGGATGGCATTCTTCATTATTCGAGTAATTTTCTTTTGAAATCTAAAGGGCTGAGTACTACATGATGAGTTTCCCCGGAATATTATGCAATATCTCAGGCGGGAATGTACATTTGCAAAATACGCTCAACGAGCTGCATGAAGGTTCACAGAATTTGAAAGTATTCTGTATGCGTAACATAATGAACTTAATTTAGTGTGTAATTTTGTTATATGTACATTCCATTTGAGGTTTGAATTGAGAGACTTAGAAATTTTGTTTCCTGAACATCAGCTGATTGCATATTTTTCATTTTCAATTGAGCATGTGATTGCTGATTTAAAAAGCAAAAATGCATTGAAACTGTTTTTCCTTCGTTAACTATTAATTTGTTATTACGAAACCAATTTGAAACTTATGAAATCGTACTATCGTTTCCTTTTTGCAATGAACATTTGTGTCATAGGCGAACAGAACGGTTCATCCGTTTTTAATAGACAAGGACATATCGTTTACGTATAACAGAAAGAGGATAGGACATAAGATCAAGCCTTGCGGAACCCCACATTCAATTGGTGAAGAATTGGAAAGATACGTGAATAATGTCCTTCCGTGCCAGTAAGGTATTTCTACTCTTTGAGATCGATGTTTAAGGTACGAGGTTATCCAATCTAGGGCGCTATCACGAATTCCATAAGAAAGTAATTTTGATAGCAAGATGTTATGGTCTATAACGCCAAAATCTTTCGATGGAAGCTTCATTTGGGTCCATTGAATAAGCAACATCTTTAAGAAAAGAAAAAATGTCAGTTTCCGGAAATTTAGATTTTCTAAACTATTCATAAAAGCATTATTTATTCGTGGCATAATTGCACTTCTTTAAAACTATGTTTTGAAGAATTTATAAACAATTGCCGTTCATGTGGATTGTAAGGAACACACAATACACTCATTATCCTCCTAATATCTGTAAGTTTGGGTGTAAATCATCCACAAACGTAACATAAATTACGGGATTGATTCGCATACTTTCGATGTGAAATAACGATTTCCATTTAACGAACCAATTCACTTCGACAGGTCATGTGCGATTTTCACTTTATAAAACCCACAGAACTTTAAAGTATTGATGTACGAGAAATGCAAACCAGACGCGAACTTCGCGCGCACTGTCGGGTCAGTTCCGCATGACACCGACTGACTCAGAACCTGCCACCTAACAGTTGGATACTTGTATGCTTGCGATAGAGTAAGGGGATAAAATAATTTATTTCAGTGACTAATGAGCAGTAGGAAATATGAGGGCGCACGTGACTTGTTCTCAACGCAAAGCAAGCTAAGACATACTGAGAACAAGACCTATTCGTAATTGAGCGCGAAAACCAGATGCGAGAATAAAGCCGGCTATCTTCGAATACAGAATTGAAAAAGCCCACGAAAGCCTAATTTTATTGATATCTCATTAAAGTAGCATGATGAACTGGACAAATATTTTAATTTTAAAAGAATTCACGCGTACGGATTCTACACATCTTACAAGTGTAATTTAAATGTATTTGCATTAATAGCCAAACACGCCATGATACAGTATAAAGATACGGTATATTTTATACCTGTGACGTGATATGATGTTTTAATTGCGATTATTAGTCTGTATATAGAATTGAGTACGTTGCACACTCTTACCTTCCTGGAGGTAAACATCGTGTTCCCTAGTGTTACTAAAGAAATATTGGCATATATATCCCGCCCGGTGGGCCCCGAGGCAGGGCTCCAGTGTCGGCCTACAGCAGCGCCCGCTCCAAAACGGGCCTGCCGGGACTCTACGGCCGGAGGAGAGTGACCAGTCGAGAGAGAGTCGTCTCGCGACTACGAACGCAGTCATTCAGGACGCATAGTCGGCGTGGTAATATATTTTAACGTGGTGACGAGAGTATTGAGTCTTATCGAGTTGACTAGTAAGGAGACGGAAGTATGTTCACTGACAGTGACACTCGGAGTTTATTCGAGGTCAGTGTGAGTTGAGTTATCAGACTTACGCTTATCGCAACCGAGAAAATTGACCACAGTCAACATACAGCATCAACAGTAAGTACAATATCCACCCAAGCACAGAGTGCCTTCCCTGGGAATCAAAATTCTCCCACGGCTGCTCGGACTCTATCGCAGCAGCACTTGAAAGATATAGCAAATCAAACTGCAGCGCACCGCAAACCTCTTTCACTCAGAAAGATTTCAATTACAATCAATAGGAAATTATTAAGGAAATCAAACACCATCGATAATCAGTCTCCCTCAGAAGAAAACAGAAAGAAACATTGCTCAAAGAGATACCGTGGAAAAATAGAAGAGTTATTCGGACGTCCGTTAGAAAAACAAACGTTTGCTTCTTGACATAAATGTAACTTCAATTTAATTTCTCCCCATATCACGTCACACACAGTTTTTAACTGTTTTTGACGTAAATAAATGAAATAAATCTTCATACTGAAAATAATGTAGGTTCTTAGATATTTAGTAATATATAGAGAAATAAATAATATTCTGTAAATAATATCCTGATGCGTACGTTACCCA